TGGGTGGTCCAGGGCAGTTTTCAAGGCCACCAAGATTACACCTCTAAGGATTTACAAGCTTATTGCTACTAGCTAAAGAAGATAGCACTAACAATTAACTAGGCCTAACTATAATAGGTAATAAGATTTAAGTAGAGTTACTAAGGCTTCTTATAGAAAGGAAGTATAACCCTAGATACCTTTACCTAGATCTATAAAGACCTAGAACTAGTAAGGATAGTAGATAAGTGCTTTAAGATATACAAATAGCACTTAAGAGAAATAAAGTAGGTAGCTAATTTAGGGTAGTGCAGGACTATATACTACTCTATTGTTTAATAGCTAGTGCGAGAGGATATAGGATACTAGCTCTAATATACTATAATCTAGGAAACTATAAACCTAATCTTATACCTATACTACACTAAGTATACCTAGGCAGGAGACTAGACATTCTTTTGTTACGTGGACGTGAACCTTTCTAAGGTAGTGTAGTTAGGATAAGGGCGTAAGATAATCTAAGGCTTAGTTTCTTTTAATAATAAAGACTAAGATAACTATACTAAGCTCCTTATTAGATTTAAAGAAGTATAGAAGAATTAAGTAAACTAGATAAATAAAGGATTATAGAGGAATAAGAGGGCCTATATCTAGGTATAGGAAGATAGGGTGCACTAGCCTAAAGAGGTAAGGGAGAAGTGCCCTAAGGTACAATAGGAGAAGAAAATCTATTAAAAGGGATAGGCAAAGATTATAAGCCTAGTAATACTATATAGATCTACTTAACCTACTACTTAAATATAGTGTATAGTTCTACCCTAGTATATAAAAGTATAGGATAATATAATAATAATAGAGGTGCTAGAGATAGGAATATATATAGAAATTATACTAGCTTACCTATTAATTAGTATAGCTTTAAAGACTCTATTAGGGCACCTAGTTAAATATAGTAGGGTCTAATAGTAATTCCCTAAGGATATCTAGGTTATATACCTAACCTAGATCTTTAAAGCTATTATATATTAGGTTTAGTAGGATAATCCTTTAGTAAAGGCTAAGATCTAGAAGTACCTAATAGGAGATTTAAATAGGGAGAACATAGGGGCATAGATTAAGAAGAGTTAGGTAGAGATAGGTATAGAAATAAAGAAGAATTAGAAAATCTATATTAAAAATAAGAAGCTTATATTTAGTAAGGATAAGGATGCTAAAGTACTAGACTAATCCTACTTTAATACTAAGGGGGTCTAACCTATAAAGGTAGAAGAATAGTAGAAGTATAATAGGTAGATTAAAAGGTCTAAGATATTAAATGCAGTTAAGAGGCACCTAGGTATAATTAAGGAGGAAAGGAAGGTAGAAGGGTCTAGGCGTTTAGGACCTAGGTATCTAGGGAGTCTAGGGAGAACTTAGACTAGGACTATCTTATCTAGTTTAGGTTTAAGGTTAGAAAGCCCTATAACTCTAACCTCTTCCCCTAAAGCTTAATAGGCTAGGAACTAAGCTTATAAAGCTAGAGGAAGGGAATACAGGATAAACTTAATAGGGCTAAGCTTAAAGCTAGGGGAGGTTTATACTATAGTATAGTAGTTGTAGCTATAAATATAGTTAATCTAAGTTAGATAGGTTAAAACCTAAATTAGGTAGGCAAATTTAAATAGGTTACTCTCCCTATTAGTTTAAATAGCAAAGGATAAGGGGAACTTATCTTATCTTAGTAAAGGGGAGGGCTTAGTAGCCTTAGACAAAGGAGGGGGAGGTTTTTGTAATAGGGAAAAATAGAGAAAATTAGAAAATAAATATTAAAATAATAGTAGTAAACCAATAGGGAGAGTAACCCATTCAAACAAGGATAAGTAGGAGGACTAGGATAAGGTAGTAGATAACTTATAATAATTAAAGTAGATTAAAAGAAGGGTTAAGGAGCAGAAAGTTCTATTAATAGGATGTGTTAAAGAATTAAGTGTTAAGTTGCCTACTATTCTATCCTATAATCCTCCCTCCTTTATACCCTTATCCTACCCTATTTAGGTTCTAACCTATCTAACTTAAGTTAAATCTTGTTTACACCTAAACCTACTATGCCACAGTACAGTAGGAGATATATAGTAGGATTAAGTAACTAAGCGTATTACTAATTTATTATACTTATAATTAATGTTTAATATAATCTACTATAGGGATATCTTATGGTTCCTATATACTACTATAATAGATATAATCGAAGCTATCCTATCTAATAGTAGCTAATATATATATCTACTAATCCTAGCTATCTTGTGTGTAACATAAGTTTAAGGTTAACGTTGTGTTTTAGATTGTGTTAGTACATGGGTGTTACTAATACTTCCTGGTCCTAGGTTCCATAGTCTGCACTATTTAGCCTTGGAAACTGTTACTGTATTTAGCCATGTCCCAATCTCGATATTTACGGCTGCGAAGTTGAGACTCAATTGAAGGTTAAGAGCACACATACGTTCGACACTCGGTCCACTGGATAGCAAGCCATTATACTGCGAGGTCTTGCAAGTTTCGAGTCGCTAGTCGAAGCCATTTTCCTTTTCGAATTTATTGTTCTGGTGCGTGGCCTGTAGCGCAGAGAATGGCTGATAAGTGCAAAGACAAAGTCAGTAAGCGACTCTCTTCTACCCCATTGCTCATCGTTAGATCCACATCTCTATGCCCTTCTTCGATACAAAAGCTGAGAAATTGCCTTGCCCATGTGTCTCATAAGCGATTCTTTCCCCTTTCCCTCAGCCAGTCCCACTTTCACTTCATTCTAATCGTCACAGCACTTCCCATCATTCACATACGCCCCCCTTAGACCGCTACAGCTGTAAATGCACTAAGAGTGCAGAAGGTCCGGGCGGACGTGCAAACGGCGTCTCATGCTGAGTAGCACCTTCCCATACTTAAGGGCCTACGGGTGCGCACCTTTCACCGCCATACACTCTCATCTTGCTCGCCTTAACCAAAAGAAAGAAATACTTGCACAGTAAGAAAGAAAGCAACTCCACACAAACACCAAATTAACACACTTAGAAAGCACAGTTAGCCACCAGAGCAAGTCAAGCCAAGTCACATCCAAACGACAACAAAACACTTCATCTGTTCTACCACAACAACTCTTCATATCTACTTCGTCCACCAATCTACCGAACTACTGTAAGTACCTTGGTAATCCATAACCCGCGCCCCCTACCTATGTATTGACTCACAAACACTTTAGTTATACACAAAACAGCACAACTGCAACTATGCGTTCTGCCCTCTTCTTCATTCTGGCTCTTGCCATGGCCAACTACGTCGTTGCTAAGGCAGGCGGCGGCAACCGGCGTTATCCTGACTGTGGTGCGCCGTTTTGTGCGCGTGGGCGTGTAGTACAGATGCGTGAGTGTGGTGCTGCCATCTCAGCGGTCAAGGATGTCAAGGTCGAGGATGTCAAGGTCGAGGATGTCAAGATTGAGGATGCCAAGATCGAGGGTGACGATAAGGGTGCTTAGGGCTACAAGGTCTTATTCTTCCATGAGCGATAGGCGTGGATGGTTTGATTGAACGTTCTGGAGGATGGATTTTATACTCTACAATTCTTTTGGTTCAGCCGACTTAGGGCACTATGGCAGAGTCATGTGTGGAGATGATTACAAGATGATAATGAGAGTCACTGTTACCTAACGAGTCAAATAGATTGTCAGTGAGACAGTGTGCATTATACTCCTACCCTTCTCTTGGACAAACATGGACGTAATCGCTTTCGTGTGTGATGCTGATTACTACTACACTCAATAGAAGTACCAGTTGATCCTCCCATCAGCTAACACAATCCCACAAATTCTCACCCTGGTACCAATACTATGTGTTAATCTCTCGACTGATACAAATTCAAACTTTTGCACCCATGTCTCTCAGTCAACCTACCTTTTTTCCAGCCCCGAAAGCCCCAGCGACTCTGGACCCGATCTTGTTGATTTATGTCATGACATTTGTAGTACTAGTCACATGTGGCTAGTCCTGTTAGCTGTACCGGTAATAGTTGCATGTTATGAGTCTGAGACGAATGACAGTTTTGAGCGGAAGCTTGCTCAGCCTATAATAGATCAGAAAAGCTTAGTTTGGCGCCTTCGAGGGATTCACAAACATGCGTTCGTTCGACACTAAATCGCTGTGAGCGCAATTGTACGGCACAGTTGCTCCGCAGCAACAGCCTTTCAGGCACAAATCCTGGCGGCTATCGCTTGACCAAATCGTCCAATCATCAATTCTCCGATCCATGACTTAAACTTCCGAGCGGTTACCAGTCATGTCGCCTTGTGGCGTGAACGTTTCGTATTGACCATGGAACCACCCAGATGGGCTTTGCTGCCCTATATTGTGGGAACAAGGCCTGCGAGAATTGCGGCGTAGTTGCAGTGAGGAGATATAAGCATCTGTAGGACAATGCAATGATATTTTTTTGAAGACACGAACCTCGAAAACAAACGTACAATCGTTCGGGAATCCGTCTCGAGGCACCATTGTGTATTCCCCCACAATGAAACTCACATTTGCCATCGTTTGTCCATTGGCACTTGCAGCATCGACTCCGTTACCAGAGCCTTCTTCAATTGCCACCCATCCATCAACCGTCAACATCCGTCTCATTGGCGCCGCAAACCACTATTCGCCCGGCAACGCACAAGCACCTACAACATCCAGAGGACACATGATTCGAGCCCCAATAGGTACAGCCATTGACATGGCGGAATCGGTGATCGAAGTAGAAATCGTCAGCATCGACGCCGGGGTCAGTTTGAGCCAACAGGCCGTCACACGAGACGATAGCCATGTTGTATGCACAGCTTGGATGAAGCCTGCAGGTGAAAGCCACGAGTTTGCAACAGGAGATCGCCAGGTGCGTCTCCACGGGGGAACACCAGGGCTGCTTGCGCGATTGCTGTGCGAGAAGAGGGAATCATGATTGTGCTGGGGTCAACGGTGGGATCGCATTTCCTGACGCTTTGTTGCATTTGCGCGGGTGTGTCTCAACCGCCCATAAGCTAGTGAAGTATTGTATTTTTTTGGCGGTATAAATTAGATATTACGCGTTCTATATAGGGCCTTATTTCCTATAGTAAACTAGCCTCCTAAGGGAAATATAAATATCGTGTAAGTACTAAGGATATATCTTTCTCCTTTTACCTAATATTAAAGCTTTAAACTTGTACCTAGATAGCTATATTAATAGTAAACTGTGGAAATCTGGATCACTAAGGTTAGGAATAATTTAGGAGATAGATTATTAGATTATATCTACTACGATCGGACTTATATATATAGAGCGTTAGCTACCCTTACTAGAAGGTAAATAATTAGTAAACCTTCCTTACTAGAGCTCCTGCTTTTTATTAGGCACTTAGTAGTAAGCTAGTAGTTAATTAGATAGTAGGTTATATAGGGGTATTAATTAGGGTTAATTAGATTAAGATACTCTATAATCTAGTTAATATCCCTCCTATAACACACCCCCTAGGTATAGGTAGATCTTTTATTATTATAGTTACACTTATAGTTAGTAGGTAGTGTAGCTAATTAGAGTGTTATATATCTAAAGGGTTAAATTAGCTTACCCTTTAGATACTAACTAGCGCGCCTTCCTTGTTTAGCCTACGCTTACGCGCGTAGATATTATCTAGACTAAGCTCTATAACTCTATTTACCTAACTATAATCTTTACTATAGCTTAAATTATAAGATTATATAACCCTAAAGATCTAAACTATACCTATATCCCTACTAACCTATATCTTAGTTAAAGTTAAAAACTACTACTTATACTTACTCTACCTATACTACTCTTATTACCTCCTATACTACTAAAGCTACTATTACTAAAGCTACTACTACTAAAGAAAAGTATACTACTACTAAGCATAAGGCTATTATAGAGCGTGCAGTAGCTAAGCGTATAGCTGCTACTACTATAGTTAAGATTATAAAGCTAAGGAAGGGCGCTCCTACTCTAGCTCCTACTACTCTAGCTCTAACTCTAGCTTCTACTCCTCCCTAGACCCTGCCCTATATCCCTACTCCTACTCCTACTCCCTCTCTAGCTCCTAAGGAGACCCTAAGATCCTCCTATTATAAAGAGCCTAGTATTTATTATACTAAAACTTGTCTAAATTATTTACGCTCTATACTCTTTAATAAGTCTAATAGTAAGTGCTATAACTCTTCTAGTAGGGGGACTTAGTGCTAGTAGTACTCCTTTAGATATAGCTATATCCTAATATATATAATCTATATAAGAATTTTTCCTTTATAATGCTTAGTAAGATCTATACTAATAAACTAATAGCCCTAAGCTTACCTAATATTCTATACTATCCTTCCTAGCAAGGAAGCAGGTAGGTAAGAGCTAAGACCTTCTTAAGGATAAGAAGTAGAGGGTCTTAGTGCTCCTTAAGGAGAGTAAGGCTAAGTAGTAGGAGCTAGTAAAAGCTGCTACTACTACTACTAAGCTTGCGCGCAAGGCTAATACTATAGCTAAAGGCGCCTAGAGCTCCTTATTAGAAGATAAGGACTCTAGCTTCTCTAAAGTTCCCCCTATAGATCCTAGGTTAGGGCAACCTAGGTAGCTCCCTATAGACTTTAAGGCACACTTCTTACGTGTAATAGAGCTCCTTAGGGAAGCTACCTAGTTAATAATAGAGAGGTAGGCTATAGTTAGTTATTTTTATATTATATATTAATAGATCTTATATACTACCTTACTTTAATTAATACTATATAATATATACTCTACTATTATATAACTTTAGGTGCTCCCTAAACCTTATAAATTATTATATACTTAGGTTTTTAGTAAGCCTATTAGCTAGTATAGTACTAGTAGGTAGGTAGGTAATATAGAAAGATCCCTTTTTATACTTTTATCTAAGCTACATGTTTTAAATATCTATATAGCGTAGCTTAGTAGTAATCCTTTTATTATTACTTAATACTAACCTAATAGTTTATTAATTATTATAATTAATTATCTAGGTAGTATTTAAAGTAAGGTGTATTTTAGTTAAAAAGTGTTTTAACACTATTACTTCTTTACTTACTTACTTAAGCGCAAGGAGCTCTACCTTAGTAGTTAATGTGGTAATAGTTACTTATTAAGCTGCCTTCTAAATAATAGGTCCTCTAAAGAGCGTAATTAGGTATCTATATAATAATTGCTAAGTATTAATATTATTAGCAAATAACGCATCACTACATATTATAAGCTTATTAGGATCCCTATTCCTATATTAGATTAATTAGTATTAAGTTTAGTATAGATAGACAATTACTTGATTAACCGCATTAAAGTGTTATTTAGATAGGTTAGTAAGGTATTAGGAGAGCTAGGAGGCTACATAGGTAATATTAGGGCGCACTATAATTAAGGTGTAAAGGATTAATCTAACGCGCTCCTAATAGTCCTTAATCTCTTTTTTAGTAGCTTCTCCTATGCTCTTTTTAATATCTTTACTTAATAGTAGTGTAGTAGGGAATTTTCCTATCTCTACTAGATTAAATTTCTTTATAATCTTGTTAATATATTTATTATAAACAAGCGTTATTATCTATCTCTTTCTATCCTAGATTACTCTTACCCCTAGAAACCAGCTTATAGGTCCCTTCTCTTCTATAGTATATCTTTGCTTTAGAGCTTGGATAACTTTGTGAGCTTAGCTTGCGTAGTTTTGGTGATAGAGCGATAGGATATTGTCCACATAGAATATTAACAAGATACTGCGATCTCTATTAAAGAATAGGCATAGCTCCTCTTTAGAAGTAATAAGCTTATTTTCTTAGAGTGTAGTTAAGAGCTTATTATACTATAATAATAGTGAGTCTTTTAATCTATATAGAGCTTATTTAAGCTTAACGCACTTCCTAGGTATTTAATATCCTTTAGGTAGCTTGCAGATAACTATAGGGTGTTAATCCCTTAAGGCGTTAAGTAAAGCTCTAACAACGTTATATTAATATATCTTAAGGTTAAACTTGGCTCTAATAGCTATTATAGTCCTAAAGGTTTAAGCTGCTAGGGTAGCTGCGTAGGTTAAATAAATTAAGTTAGTAAGCTATAGATCTCCTCTTACTACTGTCCTTGCTTTGCACTTAATTAGGTAACTATCCTAAATAAGCTTGTATGTAAACACCCATTTAAGTAGGAGTAGACGCTCTCCTTTAGTTAGCCTATTAATCTCCTCCTAGGTACTAGCTTTTAGTAGAGTATTAATTTCTTTATATGCTACGTCTCTAAATTACTATCCTATTTAGTAGTTATAGAGATCCTTCTATTATTTTAGCTCTTTTTGTAGAGCGTCCTAGTGCGTATTTCTTTTAGGGTTTTTAGAAGATTTACTCCCTATTGCTGCTGTGATTACAGCGTAGATTATAGTATTTAGTTTAGGATATACTAAAAGATTGTGTAAGGGATTTCTAATTAGATCTATATCTAATAGATCTATTACTATATATATCCCTGCACTTATAGAGCCTCCTAGTAGTTTATTAGGGTCTTATCCCTAAGCTTGCTTACTAACACGCGTTAGTAGTAGTCCTTTAACTTGCAGTTTTCTGCTTCTTCTAGGAGCTCTAGGTGCCGCTTGTGAGGAATCTACAGGAGATACAGAATCTAGTCCTAAAGCAGGTAGGTAGGAGCTCTGCTTACCACCCCTATAAGAGCTAGATAGGGTGCCCTTACCTATCTCCGTGCTCTTATAGAGTAACCTACTAATAGCACTCTCCCCTTTAGGTCTTTCCTAGGAGCTACCTATTATAGCGTTAAAGTAAGTTAGATTACTACTATCTTAGGTAGTAAGACCTTAATCTATAACCTATATAGATCCTTTATTTCCTATACTAAAGTTTAGTTCTAGTGTTAGTTTAGGAGTTTAGAGCCCTATTAGCTCTAGGGACTTTGCATAGATCCTTTGTGCTAAGCTAGCCGTGCTTAGTACCTACGCTAGAGGTGTCTGCTTAGGGGGTTATAAATTACTAGGCTAGCTAGCCTAATTATCTACCTCCTCTAGCTCTACCCTACCCCCTAGCTCCTGCGCTAGGTTTAGTCCTCCTTGCTTACTAGACTCCTTATATAGCTCTGCCGCAATACAAAGCTAATTAAAGATATTAAGCTCTTTATATACTTCTCCTGTATTATAGATCTTATCTTTGCTAATAACGTTAACTATCTTTTAAGCCTCTAACTATTAAAGCTGCTCTAGATCTTTTTCTTTAAAGAAAAGATCCTTATTAAAGGTAATATTCTACGTTATAATAATCTAATTAAGCAAGGGGATCTATATCCTATATATATTAGATGCTCTGTATCCTACTAGATATCTAATATAACCCTAAGGGTTCACCTTAAAAACCCTCTTGTAACGCCTAGCTACTTAATCTCTATTAAGGGGGTAAGCTTAATAGCTATAGGCGTATATTCCGCTCTAATTATGGCGGAGATTAGTAGTTACCTCCCTTATCTGCTCTGGTTGCCACTACCTAAAGTATCTAGTAAACTAATAATCTAGCACTTTGTTAGGTGATATTATATTATAAGTATAGGACAGGCTTATATTATAAAGCTAAGTTGCTGCTTTAACAATTTTAGGCTAGAGCTTTGTTAGTAGGTTAGCACTAATCCTTATTTTAATTAATTTTGTTATAATCTCCTGCCCTACTCTTTCTACTCCTCTATTAGGTTTATAGGTATATACAGGTAAGCTCTTAATTTTAATACTATTATTAGCTACCTAGATCTAAAAACAAGATTCGCCACGCTAAGGGAGTGTTACAACGTTATTATCTTGCATAATCTTAACTATGCTAAGCTTATATTAGTTAAGTATTAAGCTCTTAAAATTTTTAAATACCCGTATAATCTTATTAAGGTTTTTAGCTTATAGTAGATAGGTATAAAGCTTTCCTAAGTAGTCGCAC